TTCATTGATCAGCTGCTGGAAAGAATGGCCAAACATTCTTATTTCTGTTTTCTAGATGGCTTCTCGGGATTCTTTCAAATCCCGATTCATCCTCATGATCAAGAAATGACGACATTTACATGTCCTTATGGCACATTTGCGTATCGGAGAATGCCATTTGGATTATGTAATGCACCTGCGACTTTTCAAAGGTGTATGATTGCTATTTTCTCAGAATACATCGAGGAGATCATGGAGGTATTCATGGATGATTTCTCTGTCTATGGGAATTCATTTGAAGATTGTCTAATGAATTTAGACAAAGTGCTGAGCAGATGCGAAGAAGCCAATCTCGTACTAAATTGGGAGAAATGCCATTTCATGGCAACAGAAGGAATTGTACTTGGCCACAAAATCTCTAAAAGTTGTATTGAAGTTGATCCAGCGAAGATTGAAGTCATCGAAAAGTTGCCGCCACCGAATTCTGTAAAAGGAATTCGGAGTTTTCTCGGTCATGCTGGATTCCACCGCCGTTTCATCAAAGACTTCTCTAAAATCTCAAAACCCTTGACAAATCTACTGTCCAAGGATGTAGATTTTAATTTTGATGCTGATTGTTAAGAAGCTTTTTCAAAGATGAAGATGGCCTTAACAACTGCTCCAATTATAAGGCCACCCGACTGGAGTTTACCATTTGAAATCATGTGTGATGCCAGTGATTATGCAGTCGAAGCTGTGCTAGGCCAACGCAAGGGGAGAGAAGTCTATGCCATTTACTACGCAAGTCATACTCTTGATGATGCAAAACTCAATTATGCAACAACTGAAAAAGAGTTTCTTGCGGTAGTCTTTGCCATTGAGAAGTTCCGATCATATCTCATCGGAAGCAAAATTATTGTGTACATTGATCATGCTGCTATCAAATACCTCATGGCAAAGAAAGACTCCAAACCAAGGCTCCTAAGATGGATTCTTTTACTACAAGAATTTGATATGGAGATCAAAGACCGAAAGGGGTCAGAAAATGTGGTTGCTGACCACCTATCAAGGTTGGAAATTCCTGAAGCAAAAACTATGCCGATCAATGATTACTTCATCGGAGAACAACTTATGCTGGCTAAAAGCATTGATCCATGGTTTGCTGACATAGCAAATTATCTTTCAAATGGAATAATTCCAACCAGAGCAACTCATGCAGAAAAGAAGAAGTTGCAATATGACTCTCGAACTTACATCTGGGAGGAACCATTCCTCTACAAAATTTGTGCTGATGGAGTCATACGAAGATGTTTGCCCGAGGATGAAGTTAAAAATGTCTTACATCATTGTCATTCTTCCGCCTACGGAGGACACCATGGTAGCTCCCGCACAGCAGCAAAGGTGTTACAATCTGGTTTCTTTTGGCCTACTCTTTTCAAGGATGCCAACACCTTTGTTAAAAGCTGCGACCGTTGTCAAGGCACTGGAAATATCGGGAGGAGAAATGAAATGCCTCAAAGGGGCATTCTTGAAGTTGAAGTATTTGATGTATGGGGACTTGATTTCATGGGTCCATTTCCGAAGTCAAATGGAAAGAAATTCATCCTCGTGGCTGTGGATTATGTATCAAAATGGGTTGAAGCAATTGCCACGTCCACAAATGATTCAAAAGCGGTGATCAAATTTATTCGAGGGAACATTTTCTCTCGATTTGGAGTCCCAAGAGCAATCACCACCGACAATGGCACCCATTTTTGCAATAAAGCATTGGGACGAGTTCTTGCAAAGTACGGGGTTCATCACCGACTCTCGACCCCGTACCACCCGCAAACAAATGGTCAAGTTGAGCTTTCAAACAGAGAAATCAAAAGCATCCTTGAGAAGGTTGTTAATCCTTCAAGAAAGGATTGGTCTGACAAGCTTGACGATTCTTTATGGGCATACCGCACGACATTCAAAAATCCCATTGGCACCTCCCCATATCATCTTGTGTATGGGAAGGCATGTCATCTTCTTGTTGAGCTAGAACACAAGGCATTTTGGGCTGTTAAGAATCTCAACATGGATCTCTCATTGGCGGGTGAAAAGAGAATATTGTAGTTGAATGAGCTTGAGGAGTTCAGACTCGCAGCTTATGAAAATTCAAAAATATACAAGGAGCGAACCAAACAACTGCATGACAAGGTAATCTCTAAACGAGATTTTGCACCAGGAGATCAGGTACTTCTTTATAACTCTCGCTTTAAATTATTCCCTGGTAAGCTGAGGACCCGGTGGTCCGGACCATTCGAGGTAGTGGAAGCATTTCCCTCCGGAGCTGTGCAACTTTGTGGCAAAGATAACGCCAAATTCATTGTAAATGGGCAACGTTTGAAGCGTTATCTTGCCAACGATCACCAAGAGGGAATGCTACTCTATTTCCTCGAAATGCCTGGATATAAGTCATTGCATTGGTCAAGCTAATGACCATAAATAAGCGCTTCTTGGGAGGCAACCCAAGGTTTCAAATTCTGCATTTTTTTTGTTTTAATAAGGTAATTGAATCTCAATAAGGCGTTTTCCAATTCACGCCATGCACAAAAAAAAATCAATTTACCAAATTTTTCAGGAATTGTTTACTTAATTCTCCTTCATTTATTTTACACTGAGGACAGTGTAAATTTTAAGTGTGGGGGAGTGGGTAGATAAAACTTGATTTTTTGTGTGTATTTTCAAAAATAAAAAAAAAATTAATTTTCATTTTTTTTTTTGTTTTTGTGTGTTTGAGTTGAATGATGAACAGTCTTGATCCAAAAAGTAAAATTGAACTTACAAATTCTTTGTTTATATGTCTTGTGAATATTTATATACATAACCTTGTAAATTACAAAATCATCTCTTTTGACGGAATGTGGTATGAGTTTGAGAATTGTTTCATTATAACATCTTGAGAGTAACTATGTCTGAGCCTTGAGTTAATTTCTGTTAATAATTTAACATAGAATACCATAGAGTTTTTCCAATTTATTGGTTTACTAGCTAAACTTAGTTATAACTTTTATAGACCATGATGTTTCACATTTGTTCTCCATGAAATGATGTTTTAATTTGACACATTTAGACATGATATAGGCCATCTTTGTTTAACCTCTCAAACCAAGCCTACCCAATTCAAAAAAATAAAATCCCTAGTTGTCCCCTTTTGAGCCTTGTCTGTAAATAAGTGTTAACACTTATCTCTTATTTGTCATTTTTTTGTTACCTTGTAAATATTTAACCCTAAACCATTTTGCCAAAATAAATTATCCTTCCACCCTAGAGTAGATTGTCTTATTATTTGAGAAGGAACTTAAAAAAAAGTTAATAATTGGAGCACTGTGTATTTGTTTAAGCTTCAAACTATGAACTTCTAAATTCCATTGGGGTTAAAAGTTGGTGTAATTAATTGTCCATCTTAATGTTTTGAATATTTTAAACATGGATTGTTAATTTTATTTTTACTTAGATGTTGTATTTAAAAATAAATAAATTTGAAATGTTTGTGATTTTTAATTAAGGGCCCAATCATAAACATAATTGTTACAAGGAATAAGAACTAAAATTGATATAATCATAAAATAGAACACTTTTTAAATACACCGTAAGCCTTCTCTTCCTTTAACCGGGATTGAAGACTTTCGGGTGGAAATAATTATTGAGTTGTATTTTTACACCATTAAATTGGGTAAACATACAATAAAATAATTATGGTTGCCGTTGTTACTAAATAATTACTCCGGATTTATCATTAGCGTGTTAAAGTCGGAGTAGTTATTATTTAGGTGAACTGCGAGAGCGTCCCTAAATACTTTTCTGCAACTCCACACATTCTATATAAAAATAAATCGACAATCCAACTTTTATAAAAACATTGGATAATTAATTTACCAATTTCTACCCCTAACTTTTTATCATCAAAAACTTTGTGTTGTTTGGAACTCTCTTCTTTTACACTTTTTATTTTATCTTTAAAACTAAAAAGTCCAAAATATCTTACAACTTCTTTTGTAAACTTTTGTTTAAATTAAATTAACTCACGTCTCCCTGAGGTTCGACACCCTACTTACAAGGGATTCTTTTTAGTTGTTATTTTTGCCCGTTCTATACTGAAAATCAATCCCCACTACAACGAACTCCATGTCCAACTTCCGGGTGGCCTTAGTATCCCCTATCTCGACCGGGAGGGTTATTACCCCTTCGTGTTCAATAGAGTCACCTGTGAACCCGGTCAGTAGAGTCTTAATGGGTGATAACTCATCTCTTGTCAAACCAAGAGCCTTGTAAGTATCCATATACATGATATTAATAGAATTTCCCGTATCCACCAGAGTTTTGTGGATCAGTAAGTCCATTATGTCAATCGTAATCACCAGGGCGTCCCTATGGGGGACCCCAGTTTCTGGAAAATCAGCATTGGAATATACAATTGGCTCAGTTTTCAACTTCTTACCTTCCGGGGCTAGCACCTTATTGACCATCGCCGCATTGGCCCACTTCTTCCAGCTTGTGGCCGAGTCTCCGCCAGTATTCCCTCTGATGATGAAGTTACACCTGTGGTGTCTCTTCTGCCGGTGTGGTGCGGGCTCTGAATCCTCCTCATCTTCAAGCCCGATGTGGAGTTTTTCCCGGGCCTCCTTGGCCACCTCCTTATCTCTACGCTTCCCATTCTGAGTGTTCCCGGAATTTCCCGTGTCACCATCTTGTACAAACTTCTTCAGATGGCCACGACAGATTAGCCTCGCCATCTCATTCTTCAGGGTATAACAGTCCTCTGTGTTGTGATCATTCTTGTGGTGGTAGGCACACCATTTTCCAGTGTCCTCCACATTACAGACCTTCTGCGAATAGGTCGGATAAGTCATAAGTCCCTACTGTGCAGCATGGGCCATGACCTCAGCCACAGGTAACGTAAAGACTGGATTGGCAGATTTGTGCTTCTCCGAGGTCCCAGGACTTGTTCCTTTTGGGCCATCCGGGAAACCTTGCTTCTTGTTCTTGAAAGGCTTCTTGTTTCCCGCCTTCTGTTCTTCTTTGGGAGTCTTTTCTTTCTTATCCTCCTTCCTCTCCTCCAGGGTCACATACCTCCCGGCCCGGACCATTGCTTCTTCAAAGGTATCCGGGGGATGAGGTGTAAGATCAGTATGAAGGAAGCCATCCTGCAATGCCGCCGTGAACATGGCTAGCCTGGATTTATCGTCGATTCCTTCAACCTCCATGGATTCTTTCCTCCACCGGATTAGGAAATTCTTCAAGGATTCTTCGTGCTTCTGCCGCACTGAAGCCAGGTGAGAGAAATGCTTCTTGGGACGGCAGTTCCCTGCAAAATGCTCTAAGAACCGCAATCCCAATTCATCCCATGTCCGGATCGATAAGGCAGGAATGTGATTCACCCAATCCGCAACCTTGCTATCAACTGTCTGCAAGAAGCACCGGCACATCAATGCGCCGCTGGCATCAACGGCAATCATCACTTGGATGTAGCTGTTTATGTGTTCTTGGGGATCTGATTCCCCATCATAACGCTTGACAAACGACATCTTGAATCCCTGCGGATATGGTTCCGCAAAGATTTCTGGGGCGAGCAGAGTATTCGTCCGGGTAGTGAATACTCGTTCCCTGTTTATCTTCCTATGCATCTCCTCGATCTGTTGCCTCAGATCCTGGAATTCACCTGTTTTTAGTACTTGCGGTGGCCCCAGACGTTGCGGTGCTCGGACCTTGACTTGGCTCTGAACTTCCTCCTCGTCCAAGACCACCAATGACCGCACTGGCGCTTGGCTCCCACCGCGGCCGGCTCGATGCCGAAGTTCGCGATTAGAGGAAGCCACTTAGCTGGCCTGGGGTCGTACCGAACCCTGGGGTGCTTTGTCCGGACTCTTCTCCAGCCTCTCACTCACGTGAGCCCTCTGGTGAGATATCCTTTCAAAAACGGTTCCCCGCGGGTTGTCGTTTCCGTTGCCAATGACTTGGCTCACACCCCTAGTCCGATCTCCATTTGCCCTATTATTCCGGGCCATCTCCTCCGCCTGGCGCCTAGCGATGGCCTGCCTCTCCCTCTCGACCTCCTCCGGATCATGAAGCTCCAGGAGGATGGGAGAACTCGCAGTACGCAAGACCTGGCGGGGTTGCCCGGTAGGGACATCCCGGGTACCGGATGGTCGAGGGAGATCCTGGTCCAAGCGTTCCATAATGTTGGCCATCATATTAGCCACATTATTCAACGTTGTTTCAAGCCCATTGACAGGAACGATCATACCTTGTTTAGGATGGTCACTCCTGACCATTGACTGGGCAGAAGCAGCGGTGTTACGCCTCGTCTTTCGTCCGGCCATAATCTCACAGCTTTATCTCACAGTTTCTCTCAATGGAAGTACCAATGATGGGACTAACCCGATCAGATGGCGGACCAAGAATGTAACATGAATCAGAAAGATATAATCTCGTAATAATATTCTTTGATTAAGTGTATAATTGCTTGGGCCCTCCCTCTACGAAGGCGGGTTCTTTCCCCTTTTATAGTACTCCTAATATTGTAATTAAAATTATACATAATGGGAGGGATTATGGAGATCATGGGGTAGTGATTCCATCTTTTCCGGTCTTGTTCTCTTCCCATCTCGTCCACAATCTAGTGGTGTGGGCCACGTGTCCTGTTCCTTCTTCGGACTGCGTCATTTTAATTCAACCCATGATTGGGCCGTCCTTCCTTATTCGCCGTACGCGTCTTAGTGGGCTTAACCCGCTACTCGCGCCTGGCCTTGTCCATTTCGTGCTATTTGTGGGCCTTTATTGGGCCTGGAGTCAGGTCCATTAGACCCGATATCCATCAATGTTATTTTAAAATCTTATTTTTGTGTTAAATGTTTAAGTTATATTATAAGTGTTGAATTGTTTGTGTGTTGATGTTTAATTGTTCAAATTTAATTTTTTGATTGATTATTATCTCTGAAATTATAAAACCTTTTTAGGCCAAATTGTTTGATAAAAAAGATTGAATCTTTGTTGTTGAATTAATTTGACTTTGAAGACATTTTAGCTTTACGCTACTGTTAAATCTAAACTCGAAAAGGTGTTCTGATAGCCAAACTTGATATTCTTTTAAAATCCAAAGTGCTTAAAATAGCCAAACTTTTCTAGAAACTAAGTGTCACTTGATTAGTCTTGATTGCCTCGTTAAGTAGTTTTTGCTAATCAAGGTTCTCGAACTGATTTTGTTAAATAACTGTAGTGTTACTACAAGATTGTTATGGTGATGTTTTCCACAAATCTTAATGCGCTATTCTTAGTAGTAACTTAAGGGTTGGTCTTTGGGTTGCTAAGGGTAGTAGGGTTTAGAGTTAGGGTTGGTCTTAACATGAGCTAATATGAATGTGAGAATAGGGAAGAGCCGTTGGTGGACCTCTTCTTCAGCCTAACCCTGAGTTTAATTAGAAGTTTAATTTCAGAATTAAGGCATAATTAATTATTTAGTCATATTTTTCAGTTTATTTTCCTTATTAAAAATTATATGTATTTTCAAAATGGTCTAAGTTAATTATTATTGTCTACGTTTTATAAAGTTTAAATGTGTGATTGTTTTTGTGTGTTTGTTTCTCCTTGAGTGTTCTTCAAAGTTCGAGTTGGTGTTGTGGTTCTATCTCTTATCTGCTATCCTTTATTTTTATTTTATTTGCATTTTTATTTTATAGAATTATCATTCAAACCCCCCATTATTAGTTTAGTTTTAGTGTTTAGGTTTTAGTTGGTTTTTACTCAATAAAAGTGACAAAGTAAACTGATTTTCATAGTTTAAAAAGTATCTTTCCTCGTGGGATCGACCCTTACTTGCCCTATATATATGTTCTAATGGATATTATTTCATAAAGGGGGTTAAGAGTTAAGGAAAATAATAAATTAATTTGTAGCCCGACACGCCTACCAGTTTATAAGGTCTTTGAACCGAATCATTTATGTTATTTATTTTATATTATGTAGGCCTTTTTTAAATCTTGGAGGGGCTTTGGTTTGGCCCTCCCCTCCTTTTGTACCTTCTTTCTCATTTTAATAAAATTTTCTTTAATAAATACATAGATCAGTGTGTGTGTGTATGCATGTATGTATGTATATATGTACGTATATGTATTAATAACGGTATATTTAATCATAAAAAATATAATTCTTATTTCTAATAATTGTATTCATGACAGGATTGTGTATCATAAAAAGAGCATTTTGATGAAGGTAAAAATACTCTCATTAAATAATTTTAATGAGAAGACTTGTATCCTGTCATTATTGGTAATTAGCTTATGGAGGCTATAATGACGGTTGATGAGAGTAAATTTCCTCTCATTAACATGTTTGAATGACGGTTTTTTGTATTTTAACTACGGTTCTTACTCACATTAAAGGACATTTTTCTTGTAGTGTACTTTGCAAATCTCCACATCGCATCTATCTATAATTTCTCCTATGATGTGGTAACGTCGTACAATGTGCTTGGTCTTTTGGTGAGATCGTGGTTCCTTTGCCTGTGCAATGGCCCCGGTGTTGTCCCAAAACAGCGGGATTATTGGGTCATTAATACTAGGAAACACTCCAAGTTCAGAAATGAACTTCTTTATCCAAACACCTTCTTTTGCTGCTTCAGCAGTAGCCATGAACTCAGCCTCTGTAGTTGAATCGGCGGTTGTGTCTTGTTTAGAAATCTTCCAGTTAAAAGCTCCGCTTCAGGTGACACACATACCCTGCTTGTGACTTGTAATCGTCTCGATCGGTTTGGAAGCTCGCATCAGTGTAACCGATCACTTTCAGCTCTTCCTCACCTCCATATACCAGGAATGCATCCTTAGTATTCCGAAGATACTTTAGGATGTTCTTGACCGCTGTCCAGTGTGCTTCACCTGGTATCTACTAGTCACGCTTAAAATAAATGAGACATCAGGTCTAGTACATATCATGGCATACATGATGGAACCAGTTGCAGAAGCATATGGGACCTTCATCATGAGTTCCTTCGGCTCGGGAGTAAAAGGACATTGGCTTTTGGAAAGAGCCGTGCTAGGTAACATAGGTAAGGATCCCTTTTTCGAGTTAGACATGCTAAATCGATCAAGGACCTTATCTATATATGTACTTTGTCATAGACCTATCACGGTAGATTCTTATGCCAAGGGCATAACTAGCATTCCTCGAATCCTTCATGGCAAAGTTCTCGCTCAACCAAGTCTTTACAGATGTAAGAGCAGGAACATTGTTACCCATTAATAATATGTCATCGACATAAAGGATTAGGAATACTATCACACTCCTACTGACCTTCTTGTAAACACTAGACTCATCAGAATTCTTCTCGAAACCAAAACTAGTGATGGTTTCATCATAGCGTATATACCAACTCCGAGATGCTTGTTTCAATCCGTAAATTGACCGTTGCAGCTTACAGACTTTTGGCAGATTCACCGGAAATTGTAAAACCGTTAGGCTGTGTCATATAAACATCTTTTAGGTTCCCGTTAAGGAAAGTCGTTTTGACATCCATTTGACAAATCTCGTAATAGTAGAACACTGCAATCGAAAGCATTATCCGAATGGACCTCAACATCACAACTGGAGAAAAGGTTTTTTCATAGTCAATCCCATGGATTTGTCTATAACCTTTTGCTACCAATCTAGCTTTAAAGGTATGAACCTTCCCGTCTACGTTTGTTTTCTTTTTGAAAATCCACTTGCACCCTATGTGTTTTATCCCTTCGGGCACATCAACCAAAGCCCAAACTTGGTTTGTGTACATAAACTCCATTTTGTATTTCATGGCATTAAGCCATTCTTTAGATTTGGGGCACGTGATTGCCTTGAGGTAGGTCTCATGTTCTCCATGGTCTACCAGCAAGACGTCACCTTCATCAGATACAAGGAACCCGTATCTAACCGGAGGTTTACATATCTTGTTTGACCTACGTGGTATATCTTGAGCAATTTGAGGTTCAATTTTTTTACCCTCTTGCTCACATTCCAATAGTATCAGGATGTCTTCATCTGGTTCTCGAATTTCATCAAGGTCTACCTTTCTCCCATTAGAGATAGTGGAGAGAAACTCCTTCTCAAGGAAGGTCTCATGCCGGGCAACAAAGATTTTGTTTTCAGGAGGGTGATAGAACTCATACCCTCTAGTTTTCTTGGGGTATCCCACAAACTTACACTTATCAGATTTGGGCTCCAGCTTACTAGACGTCATGAGACGTTTTACGTAAGTGTCACAACCCCATATCTTAAAGTGCGACAAACTCGGTTTTGTCCCATGCCAGATTTCGTACTATGTGCTCTCGATAGCTTTATATGGAACTCGATTGAGTGTGTATGCTGCTGTTAATAATGCTTGTCCCCAAAACTGGCAATGTTGTAAGACTCATCATACTCCGAACAAAATCGAGTAGTATTCGGTTTCTCCTTTCAGATACTCCATTTAATTAGGGTGTACTGGGAGGAGTAAGTTGGGATAGGATCCCATGCTCTTTTAGATAGTTATCAAACTCCAGTCTTAAGTACTCACCTCCTCGATCCGAGCGAAAGGTCTTGATACTTTTACCTAACTGTTTCTCTACTTCGTTTCTGAATTCTTTGGACTTGTCAAAGGATTCCGATTTGTGTTTCATGAGATACACATATCCATACCAAATACGGTTGTTAGGCGTGTCGTAGCACCTACAAATTAATTTATTCTTTTCCTTTACTTAATTCCTTCTTCTAAAAATAATATTTATTAAATCTATAGATAGGATAAGTAAGAGTCGATCCCACGAAGAAAGATATTTTTTAGGCTATGAAAATCGGTTTACTTTGTCACTTTTTATTAAGTGAAAACAACAATCTAAAATCTATAAACTAAATTAAAAGAAGGGGGGGTTTGAACATAACTCCACCAAAAAGCCCAAACGAAGAAGACAAGCACACATAACACAATAATTTAGAGACTCAAACCATTTTAGAAAACCAACAAAATGTTTTATAATATAGAAAATAAATATCCAGGATCAAAACTTTGTTGAAAACTAGCATAATCATCAACCAACTATAAATTAAAACAAGGGTCCGGCTGAAAAAGAGGTCCACCAACGGCTCTTTCCTATTTTCCCATTCATAAAAGCTCATGTTAGGACCAACCCTAACTCTAAACCCTACTACCCTTAGCAACCCAAAGATAACCCTTAGATTACTACTAAGAATAGTGCATTAAGATTTGTGGAAAACATCACCGTAACAATTTTGCAGTAACACGAAGGTTATTTAACAAAATCAGTTTGAGAACCTTGATTAGCAAAAACCACTTAACGAGGCAGCCTAGGTTAATCAAGTGACACTTGGTTTCTAGAAAAGTTGGGCTATTTAAAGCACTTTGGACTTTAAAAGAATATCATTTTAAATTGGATTAGGTCACGATCCTAATTTGACCCAACTTAAGTAAAATCAATTGAAAAATAGTTCTCAAACACCTTTGAATTAATTTAGAGTAAATTCCATAATTGGTCCTTTATAACAGGGGGGTTTCCATATTTAGTCCTCTATTATCAAATATTACCCTCGTAGTCCTTTTTTTAAGGGTACCTTTCCACAAATAGTCCTTTTTTGATCTTCTGCCGTGTTGGTGTTAATTTAAAGGCTAAAAGTATAATTTGACGTCAACATTATGTTTAGTGACGTGTTCTGATATTGGTTAAGTGGATAACACAAAAATAATGATTATGATTGTTGGCTAGGATTCTGACGAAAGATCACATTTGTAGATTATAGTTGTCGTAAAAAGCGACTGTAATTCACAAACGACGCAAACGGAACAGTCTTTGGAATTGTGTATGACAAAAAAGATATATTATCATTGTGAAATTACACTTTTAGTCCTCAAATTAACACCAACATGATAGAAGATCAAAAAAAGGACTATTTCTGGAAAGGTACCCATAAAAGAAGGATCACTTGGGTAATATTTGATAATAGAGGACTAAATAGGGAAATCCCCATGTTATAAAGGACCAAATATAGAATTTACTCATTAATTTAAAAGTAGCAAAATCTTAAATTCTCTTAAGAATAATAAACTTGTTGGAAAAGTTCAAACACATAGACATGTTTAACTTTAAGCACAAAAGTTTCATTATTCCCTTAAAAAAATTCTGATTTCAAGTGTAGTTTTTTTCCAAGAACAGACCCCACACCATACGAAATACTTTAAATAAAGTTCCCTTAGAAAATTTGATATGCTCACTGCCAAACCACTTTGAACCATTTGCGAAATGCACTAGAAGTGAAAACTTGAACTCAAACAGTGCCAAAGTGAAATCAATTTCATACTTGGACAATAGCAAGCCAAACTAAAAGAAACAAAATCAAACCCAAAGGAAACTAATTGGGAAATCATTCAACCAGAGAGAGAAAAAAAAGAAAACCACAAAAGAAGATAGCAAGATCCGAACCCCCTAGGGTTCATACCCTTTGGATTGAGCTCTGATTTTTACTCTTGATCCGTGGTGGTGAAGTTCTTCGCAACGCCTCCCTCGACTTATAGGTGCGAGAATCGCTTATTCCGTCTAGGGTTAGGACTTCCTTGTGCGCTGCAATTCTTGCTGCGGATTCTCCGGCTCCAGCTATGCTTGAAGAGGCCGACCCAATGTAGGAGAGGGAGTCTTCAGCTCTTCTATCTCACACGACTCTCTCTTTTTCTCCTTTTTACGCAGCTTCTCTCGTGTATTGGAGGTGGACATTTGGGCTTTGTCATCTTGGGCCCGGATTGCTTTCACATTTTCAGCCTACACTTTATGCTCCAAGATTATATCTAATAACCTTTGTCAAGGAGAATTTGGGTCCACAACAATGATATTCAAAAATAAACTGAAAAGTGTGCATTATGAACATATTTTATAAACTATGCCTAGAATGCAAAAATGATCATTTAAGTGTAAAAATGCACTTTTTAATGCCCAAAAATACTGATTTGGTAGAGAATAATTAGTGAATAATTTGGACTCAACAAATACCCCCTCACTTAGCTTCTTGCATGCCCTCGTGCAAAGTAGATAAAACAGACAGATTCTTATACTTTTACTTCTCAAAACTGAACTTGCTGGAGGTGTATGACCTGCCAAAACTTAATATTGGCTCAACTTGACACAGAATCTTCCTTAAATTTCTAACAAGAATAGCCCAACCATTAACTTAAGAGAAATTTATTTAAACATTCAATTAGAAGACTTATTCAAGCAAAACTTGTTAAATCACTTAGATTGCTTCGTGTTTAAAAACATTCCTTTCCCAAATTAGTAGCATATTCAAGGAATAATTCTAAATGACATTCAATGAAACTATTCTTTCAAGGTCTTAAAGAAAATAAAAAGAAGTGTCTTTGAATAAGTCCCTTAAGGATGAAAAAATTAGCTAGAGTAAGGTAGAGTAGCTAGTAAAAAGAAAAAGAAAAGGAATTCGTGATCAATTTAGGAAGTCATCACTTACTTACTCAAGCGTTGTTTGGCCAAACATGGTGCACAACTATGCTAAATCCTACATTAAGGCATGCTTCATTGCACAGGCAATGTGGCTAAATGTCCCCAGGCCAGATCAGATTTGTTCGATGAAGTTCTTTTTTTTGTTTTTTTGGCAAATGTGCTAACAATCTATACATGCACGAGCTTGCGTATCCACCGGTGTTGTTTAATGATGCAATACTAGCCCCCCCCCCAACGGTAGTGCATGCATAACAAGCTAGCACGGAGACAAGTCCATGTTCAACCTTGGCTATCATTGATGTATCAGACCTCAACTAAATCAATCAAAAACCCTTCAAAGACAGAACCTCTAGAAGAACTACTTTACCAGTTCTAGCTAAATATTATCATCCTTAAGTTTTTACTCAGAAACTTAGCATGGAGAGATAAGAAGATGGATAGAAGATAGAAGGCAGATCCTTTTGAGAGTAATAGTGCATGAATGTTACTTAGACCAAAAATTGATTATGTGACTAACCAAGAGAGGAAAATTATTAAATAAGGAGCATTCTACTAGATTAAACAATTAAAGATTGAACAACTAATATAATTGGATGCTTAAACAAATTCTTCCAAGTTAAGAACTTAGACTATTGTTGTGAGAAATTTAATTAAAACTCCTGAAACTTTGAGCCAATAGGAAGAATTAACATAAACCAGGCAGCTCCAGAAAGTACAAAAAAAATTCAATCTTCACACGATT